GACGATGGTAAGATAGGTAGACGCAGCATGCGCTGTACCTACATACATTTCAGCGTCAGTTACGGTTACCCATATTTGGGTCTACTCGTATGCACGAGGACTCGTACAGAAACCGTACACCCCCTCCCCGACAAAAACCGTCAAGCATCAATGTAAAAGCGATACAAGCCATTAGCAGCGACACATGCCTAACTACTTAAAGGAATGCCGACAACGGTTTTTCGTACACACTTTTGCCCACGCTTGTTGCTTATGTTTTTCTATATATTTTTGTATTTCCTTCGCATTCTTACTTTTTTGCTGTTTTACCTGAAGCCTTATGTTATTTATATTCTCCCGGTAATTTTTTTTTTACCTTCTTCTCTAACCCGCGTCCTGGTGGGGTCTGTTTATAACACGTCCTGGTGGGGGAGGGCTATGTTTTGCCCCCCCCCCCCACTCGTATCTCTGAAGCTACTGAACGGAATTCAAACGGTGTTCGAAGGCCCTGTCGAATTTGTTGAAGGAAATCCAATTTCATTGACCTCGGGGTTTCCGATGGTGTCACAGGTCAGGTTAGATAAAATGTTTTGCCGTTCACGGGTCTTCTAGGGAATGCGCCATAACATCGAGTAAAACGCATTTTATCGAAATTCAGCGATAGCCGCGTATGTTGTCTAGTACAAATGTTGCTAGTAGAGGTCACTGATAATGCCAGGTCAGGTCAGGTCACCAAGGGTCAGCACATGAACCCAATTTTACTATAGGGCTGTGCGATGCGTGCGATGCACGTTTTACGGCAAGTTTTCATTTCTAAGTCACACATATTTGATCAGGATTGATTGGACATGTTTTAATGGGATCTTTTGTGCTTCCCGAAAATTCACCGAAAACAGATATGGGATTTGGAAAAAACACGTCGATAAGACCATCAGGAACGGTTTAGATTTAGGTCACTTCCTGGTGGACGTCAGGTCAATGTCAGGTAAAAAAAAAATCAAATTTCAAAGTTGATATTTTTTGCTTAAAATGGGTATTGATGCGATGCAGCTCACCGCGAGTCTAATGGTAGTCTTTGTTTTGCGCTACGTGTTGAATTGCTAAAAATTGAGTTTGAAATTTTGACGTCAACAATTTTGAACAGTTTTTTCGCTATAACTTCGCCAAAAAACGAATTATTGATCTAAAATTTGGATATGAATAGAAGTCGGCAGGGGCCATCACATACATTTCGGTTTTTCGAAAATAGAACTTTTTGGATTCTTTGGCTATTATTATGTATTCCTATTCAAAAAGAATATTTTGATTTATGGGGTCAAAATCCGAAAATTTCAGAATTTTGACACTTTAGATGCCCTGGTAATTATACACCTTTTATGTCCTAAACATTTTTCTGTATCTTCAAAGCTATAGGTAGGCCTGACAGCTCTTCCCGCGAAACCTTTCTTTGTCGAAGACGGCAGAACATGACGTCACTCTGACGTCATTGGCCAACCTATCATAGCCTTTGGAAAAAATTGTCACAATAAGTAAAATTCATGCCCGGGAGGGTACTGAAATGTTGATGATCGACGCAGCAGTTCTGCAGATATATCGAAAAGTCTGGAGGGGAGAGCAAAAAATAGCCCCCCCCCCCCCCACCAGGGCGTGGGCTAACGACGCTACCATGCCGGCTTCCCGTTGCCCTTTTTACCCCTGGTTATGCACCCGGCGCCGGCCTTGATTTCGGTTCGACCACGGAGCTCCCGTCAGCAGCCGCAGAAATTCCTTTCCAATCGCTGCTACAAATACCAGAAGCTCCCCCAGGCTGAGCACGCTCATGCCGAAAAAGAGACCAGCCACACCTCCGACGCCCTGGTACCAGTACAAGAACCCGGGCACCACGGCAGAGACTCTGGTGAACACCACCTCCGAGTAGAAGATGGTGAAGGCGGTGGTGTTGGCATCTTCGACCGGTCGATGCTCGTAGGCAGTCGTGACCCTTATCCAGTCTGAGACGCACGCTGGCCTGCAAGCTATGGAGCTGTGAGATGCGTTAGCGAGCATCTGCTGTACCTGGTCGGCGGCACAGCTGAGTGTCTGCTGCGGCGTACAGATCGGCAGCGCCGCCCTTGGGGATTCCGACTCCAGCACGTCCATGCCTAGGTGGCGGCAGCCGCAGCTGTCGGCGTACACCTGGAGCAGCTCGTGGACCATGCAGCTGGCGGCGCCGGCGACGGCAGCGGGCGGCGGCTCGGCGGCCAGCGGCACCGGCTGGCAGTCGGGTGGGCCGCCCAGCAGTGGCGTCCGCTCCGCCGTGATGTCGTGCTCCTCCTTCCACACCTGCAGCTTCACCTCCTGGCCGACAGCGGCCACCACGGCGCGGTTCATGACGGCGAAAGCCGGCGGCGTGTAGTGGTTGGTGGCCACCACCCGGAGCTCGTCGCTGGGCGGATCAATATGCAGCTCAGAGAAGTCCATGTCGGCCGGCGCGGCCTCATTCTGCAGCACCAGGTGCAGGCCGAACCGGGCGCCGGCCATGCCCTGTCGGATGTCTGTGCCGAGCGTGGTCCAGCAGCGGCCGAGCGGCGTGTACACGGCGCGCAGCAGCCGGCCGCAGCACTCGGAGCCGTTCAGCGACGCGCGCCGGCCGAGCCGGCAGCTGGACACCGTGTCCTCGCAGCTGGGCGACAGCTGGTCGAACAGCTCCGGCAACGTCAGCTCGGAGCGGCGCAGCAGCTCCTGCAGCTCCGCCTCCAGCGTCTCCAGCCGCAGCTGGGCGACGTCCGGCGGGTCGTCGTCGCTGCTGATGAAGCCGCTGGCCGTGGTGGACAGGTAGGCAGCCATCCTCGCCGACACGTTCAGCCTCTCGGCGCTCGGCCGGCTGAAGAAGTGGCCCGCACACAGGGTGACGGCAGGGATCGGCAGGCTGGCTGGCGTCTCCTGACGCACGGTGGACGTGCTTACTCTGTGAACGAGCGTTTGTTTCGTGATCGTGAACACGGAACTAGTCAGCATTCCCGCTGAGAAGAGCACCATCAGTGTCCAGAAAAGCCGCCAGGCGCAGCTTCCACTTTCGGCCAAATGTCCCAGCCCGTGAATGGTGGTGTGCTCGAGGAACCAGAGCGCGAGGCGCCTGACCTCTTGCTGCACTCCGCCGGTCGCAGAAGCGCCAGCCTCCGGCACCGCCATTCTAGTCCTCCAACGGCGCTTTCCCGATATGTTCCAAGTAGAAAATGTTAATGGATTGTCTACACACACCACCTTATCAGACGTTTCGCCAAACACCCAAAACACAGTCAGGATGGAGAGACGACGTGGAGATCTTCGTCTACTGGTGCACCGCCTGGGAATGCGAGCTGTCCACAAAACGGAGCGCCTTTGGAGGCAGCCTGGTCTTGCCAGCTAGACGTGTTCTTATTTCATCGAGTCCATACAAACGAAACACACTGGCTATAGGGTAAAATGTACTGTTTGGAATACGCCAACGTGTACAAGAACTCGACGGTGGTCAGTGAATGGCATTGACCGCTCGATGACGCCTACCATAATCGAGTCGCAAACGGGCGGCCACGGCTGCCTGTGCCAAAGGTAAATTGGCTTGTCTTTGTGCGTTTTTGAATAGCGTCATACAGTGCATAAGTACGATTAGATAGGTACCAAGGAAATAAAGCTATCAAATTATAGCCTCATGTAGCGACTGTTTCCAAGGAAACATAAATTCAGCGGAAATAACGAAGGCCACCAATGTCCTGCAGCGCCTCCTCCCTAATGGGAGAGCATATTGACTGTCCCCATAGACGTATAGACATATGACACCTGGTTAGAAGAAATGTTTTGACAAAAGGCTAGACGAAACGCTGCTCAGCATTGATAGGTGTACCGCGAAAACCGTTAACGAGTGACGTGCAACGTCGGTGTCTATGTCAATATCGGAATGATGTAGCGCCTTGGGCGCGTGGCCTCGTATGCCTCAAACATGGAACGATTAGAGACGTATATGTCTGTTGGTCTTACTCAGGTGTGTTACACAGGATAGTTTTGATGTTAGTTCTGTCGAATATGCAGTATGCCATCATTACGTAGGTGTATTCTTGGTAGATAGAGAGTGTCTGCGTTTCCGTTCGTAAAACTGGTAGAACAAAACGCTCTAATGCTTTATGACAGCACTGCAGACACAACCCCACAAGTATGGATGTGGCGTCCGAGGACATGCGTATATTCAACCGTAAGTCATCGGCAGACAAGAGCTTCTTAGTTCCAAACTGTCGGCAAAAAAAAAGCAAATGACACAGCGATGCGCAATTATCTTCGCTAGAGACTGTAAAAAAGACAGATAGTCTACGTTCTCCTTGGCGCTTTAATGTCCTGGTGACATTACCGTGCTTCTCATCATTAGAAAGCTTATCCGGCGTAAGCCTTACATGGTACGGAAACAGAGTACAACAAATATCCTTCTTATGCTCACAAAATACCGTCAAATGAGCCACATAGAAAACGTTATCAATCTCAGAAGTCTAACTAGATACTTTGCCCAATTATTCTGCATCAGTTATGAGGTCTTAGATAGGTGATTATCATTTGAAGCTGCTCACTTCTACGTATACCGTCCCCTTACTTCGGATCATACTACGAACGGATCGCAGATGACCGACTTAAGCTGCAACGAGGCTGGGCATCTGACAAATATGTGCTTCATTCTGGGTCTCGCATCGGAACTCTCAACAGCCTCCTGGATCTCCAGAGGTGCTGTTCCTAGACGTCTGGCTGCCTAACTAGGACAAACTACTGTCATTTTCGTCCAAACGTTCAGGACGTACTCGTCCAGATCGTCCGTTCAACGGTAAAACGCACTGAACATTCGCTAGGCGTCAGGACGCCCAGAACATTGACCAGGTGAGCCAAACTTCAAAACGTTCAGCGTTGGCGGCCGTGCGCTTAGGCGTCCAGCACATCCACCGCTTGCCAGAACGTTTGGATCATCCATCGGCTAAATCGTCGTCATGTTGGCATGGGTAAAAGTGGCGGTTGGTGCGCTCGTGATGGCAACGTTCACTCTTCCCCTGATCACCATCTGGAAATTCAGCCGTCTGCGGGACGAACCAATGGCCGTGCTGGTCGCAATGCTCGCCGCCTCCGACTTCACGTTCGGCATCGTGCTGACGTCGCTTGGCGTCCTCGAGATCACCCTCGGCTACGTGCCGTTCTGTACTGCTTTCCAATACCTGGTCGTCGCGTCAGCCGGCGCTGTGAAGATTGCCACCCTGGGCCTGGCAGTAGACCAGTACACTGCTGTCTCCAATCCTCTGCGCTACCACTGTCTGATGGAGCGTCGTCTGCCCTGGCTGATCGCCGCCAGCTGCTTCCAGTTCGTCCAGCTGACCGTCGTCGGAGGTCTGTTCCACGCGGCTGGCGCCATCACCTGGCACGAGTTCTCCCACCCGGGCCAGAACGGCACGGCGCTCTTTGCCGGCTGCCGCTGGGAGCCGAGACTCTCCAGCACCCACATGTTCATCTTCGAGGGCGAGGTGTTTCTGAGCAGCCTACTCACCTCGCTGCTGATGTTGTACACAGCCCGGGTGGGGATCAAGCGGCGTCGCGCCTTTCAGCGCCGCCGCCGGCGCGGAGCCGAAACCGGCTCGGAGCACGACCGCTTCATGGAAAACTTCCGCGCCTTCGAGAAGATCCTGAAACTGATCTCGCTGTCGCTGCTGCTGGACGTGACGACGCCTGTGTTCCGACTGTACCAGCGGTGGCACGCCATGCCGACCATCGCCGGCGTGCTGCATGTTCTCCGGCTGGGCTGCACCATCCTCGAGGGCTCCACGTACGGCCTGATGAATCGCAGCCTGCGCAAGGCCTACAAAGACCTGCTGGGAATCAAGACCAGAGAAGTTCGTCCGGCGCAGGTCAGGACAATCACTGTCAGAACCAATACGGAGACCATCAACTGAGATTTGACGTCAGGCACGGTGATCCACCACTGAGACTGAGAACTGGTGTTTACCATCGGCCACCAGATCCTCAGCTGAAGCCTGGGACTGACTTCAGCCATCGAAAAGAGAACTGACGCCTGTGGCTTGCTACAGTCAACGAGTATCACAGCTGTCGCCGGAGGCCGTCTCCTTTCACTAAGCCTCACCGCTGACCTCTGGATATGTACTGCCGTCCGACCCCGAACTCCAATTCTGACGTCTGATCACCGCCTTCACCCATCAAAATACATCATTATTACGTGTCGTCACCTTACGACGATGCCGGAAACACCACAATCTTTCAGTCACGTCGGTACTGCACCCTTGCTCATGCACATCATGTTTCTCTCATCTCTGGAAATAACTATCGTATGTACAATTACATGTTGCATATTGCTCGGTGTCTATATGTGAAATGCCATATTATTCATTGTGATTTTCAAATTCATTAGTGAGATAGAAAGCTAACTTTTGAGTTGAGTAGGGTTGCTGTATCGCGTTGCTCACGATCACCACTCGCCAGCCGGATAGGGTTTTCTTATCATTGGTTCAACGTCTGAAAGCTCAAATAAAGGGTTGGTGAGATCTGGTACAATAACAACTATGTCGTATGAGCCCGATACATTGTTGTATGGAAATAAGCAGGGTCCGACGGCATCCAAATAACAGTGCTGATGCTGATGCGATCGGCACTGATGTTTATCTTGGTCCTTGATGTTGATTGTCAGACTGTCAGAGTGTGATTTCGTTAAAGAATATATACCAATTTCAACATGGGATTATTTATAGTCACCGTGGGGATTTTGAACTGGAATAGCAGTTTTGTAGCTTCTGCTGAGACTAGCATAAATCAGGAGCTTTTATGGCTCAACGATCACCCTCAACAAATATAATCCATTTCTCGTTCCGAAATCAGTGCCTTACGCAGGAACTTAGTGCCTTACGGAAAATGCTAAGAATGCAGACGGTGTCGCAGAGGCCAGCGGCAGCCAATCAGCATGCGTTGGTTTTTAACTACGGAATATGATTGGTCAACGCGTAATAAGCTTCCGCCGCAAACACTATTTAGTATTCATCCTCTACCAAAGATGGAATATAGTTCTTCTTTTATGAAAATAATTTAGAAATTCCTTTTTTAAATTTTTTTTTATAATCAATGTAGGAAGTATCATTAGAATATATGACCTTCTCCTCGGAAAATGACCAAATGAATGAAAATGATTATTTATTGATGAATTGATAATATTTCGGTCACAGACCTTCGTCTAAATCGAATTCGTTAAATCGTACAAGGCAAAAGTAGCGAGTGAAATGCGCAACAATTGTCGACTGCCTGTAGAAAGTAAAAAATTCAAAATTCGTATGTCTCGTGGTCGTCATGCAGGGCTAACATCACATTTCGAGGTTCGCATCGCTTTCGATCGTATTAACGTATCGATATCAAATCGTACAACAATATCGAACAGCAAAACATCAACAAAACATCTGATCATACACCCCTAAAGATATAATGCACTTAACCCGCGCCCCGCTGGGGGGGGGGGCAGAATCTGCCCCCCTCCCGTTTTTCGCCAATAACTTCTAAACGCGTTACGCCAGCGACGTCAAACTTTCAGTACCTTATCATACATCAATTTGACACGTTCCCTGAAAATTTGAGCGAAATCCGTCGGAAAATTTTTGAGAAATTCACGTTTTAGTGACGTCATGTTCGCCATTTTCGCCTCAAAAACGGCAAAATTCCAAACGCCGCTAACATCTTCATTTTTAAAGGAATCAAGACGTAACAAAAAAATTATACGTGATTCTACTTTGTTTATCAAACGGATATCTCGGTTTTTTGAAAATATTGGATTTTGGCCAAAATTTTTCCAAAAAACTGACTTTTTTGGGAAAATATTTATAAAATCCAAAATTTTGAGTTTATCGAAAAAACCGGGATATATGTCAAAGAAGTGGTCTATGTGCACCTACATACCAATTTTTAGAAGAATCGGTTCAAAAATGTGGGAGTTATTCAAAATTTTATGACGTCACGACACACAAAAATTTTGAAAATGATTTTTTGGAAGTTCTAGACCTCGTACGGAACCAAAAATAGCACCATTCGATTTGCCGTGAAAAACTGCATCGGATAGACACCTTTGTAAGCCTTAACAACAAACTTCAAAATTTGACCTCACTTGACCTGACCTTGACCTGACCTCGACCTGAAATTCATCCAGAGGTGGTCCATATCACTTATTGAGTGTGCCTATTGAATTCCATGAGTAAAATGACCCATAAAACATGTGTTGCACATGCCCTTTTCTATATTTTGTTTTTGGTGACCTGACCTGACCTGACCTGAGCTTGAACTTGACCTTTGAATGACATTGTGTGCAACGAATATTGTCTTGGTAGTCTAAGAACACGTTTTGGGCAATCAGTCTCAGTCCATTTTTCGACAACTACGGTGCAAGGCCGATACTGTAGAAACTTGCATTTTGTACCCTTGACCTGACCTTGACCTGACCTCTGACCTACTTAAGCAAAAAAATTGGGCTCTTAAGATCCGCCTTGTTGAGAGCTTTTGATTGCCGTTTTCCCCGTCTTTCTACGACCATCGGTTCGGACGTTAGACAGGGGGGCAGAATCTGCCCCCCCCCCCCAGCAGGGCGCGTATGGCTGAATAGCCCAGCGGGGCGCGGGTTAAAAAGCAAAAATATAGCTACCGTAAAGTGGGGCTATTTGAGACAGTGGGGCTATTTGAGACAGTATTTAAAATCGCTATAAAATGAAGAGCGTTTGATTTCTATGTGATATTTTTGCTCAGGAAGGTGTAGAATCGAACAGTAAATCGCCTCAGCAAAAATTAATCATAAATTTCAAGCGGTTTTTATATTATAACAATTTTAAATACTGTCTCAAATAGCCCCACTGTCTCAAATAGCCCCACCTTACGGTACGCCCTAAAAGGTACACATGAGCATAAGTTCGGTACAAACAGATTGGCAAAAGCATATTCATCTAAATACATGCTTGCTGGCAAGAGGGCGAAGCGCCGGCAAGACGGTGCAGCGCCTAGACCCACAGCGGGCCTCGTGATGGATAGGTCAGGCGGCTGGCGGGGGGGGGGGGGGGCCGCGGCCGTCGTCGAGCAAAAGGTGTGCGTCATATATAGGTACACTGTACAACGTAGGGGAGAGTGGGGCAAAGCGGCCACCCGGGGCAAAGCGGCCACCCATCGTTTTAGCCCTTCATAGCTGGCGTCAGTTCCAATTTATGGTTTCCAATTATACTTTTCTTCACGGTCGTTCGAATGAGCCAGACCGGGGTTTCAGGCCCATCACCATTGTTCTGTGAAACACGGAAAAGCATTTCTTGCCAGGTTACCAACTATGTTTACAATTTTTAACTGTTATGTTATTCCATGACCGTTTGGAATTTTTATAAGCGTTCTTGTCCATGCATTGCATGGTTATCGTACATGTATTCTACCAATTTTAATGTTTTTTACCCCACTAATAGCTAAGCTGGAATATTTTTGTCTCGGACGGTATGCGCGGGGCAAAGTGGCCGGGGCAAAGTGGCCACCCCCCAATTGGCCATAAGTTGCTTCCATCTGGGTAAAAACATTATTTATATTCAAATGTGTCGTCATGCATTCATCTTGGCCACTTTTCAGTTGCAAGTGTTACCAAATAATGCAATTAAATGTTTATTTTTATCAAAATCCTTTCTTTGTTTACCTACAGGTGGAAGATGATAAAGTAAACATCCATCCTCGCTTAACCTTGTCACCATCAAATACACTAGTCGTATACGAGGCAACTATTTTGTTTCTCATATCGGGACTTGAGAAGACGCCGGTGGCCGCTTTGCCCCAGGGTATGGGGCAAAGTGGCCAATATGCATAGGTTTAAAGTTTTGTCAATATCTTTCATATGTGAACGTCTTTGGAAATAAAATGCAGTTGAAATAAAAGGCAACTTACTAGGGATCACATTGGTATAGAAAGAATCTTTCCAAGTTTAAAAAGCAAGCGTTGGCATCGTGAGAAGCGTTAAGGTGGCCGCTTTGCCCCACTCTCCCCTACATACATATAATGAGGTACACATACATGGCTTGTGACTATGTGACTATGTTTTCGCTGCGTGTTCCTGGCCGGCGCTCTAGGCAGACGGGCTTGTTCAACGTACCTTTTGGACGGGTTGATACGGTGAAGAACGGCCTCGGCGTACGAGTCCCGAAACTAGTGAATGAGTTGCTGAACAAATATCCAGACGAGGATTTCTTTCAGCCTAGTCTCCACTGCACCGCGCGCATCCGTGCCTACGCACGAGGCCTTGGTACTTGTATGACGTAGGCTGCTATTGTTTGCATTACTTTTATCTTTTGCATTTTTTATAGATCATGTGTCATTTTATTGTTCCTTTTTTATTGTATCTCAGTGTTTTGGCCTTTTGCCACTTTTATACGAGCTATTGCTGTCTTAATGTGTCCCGCGGCTTTTTGTCTGTGGTGGGTACAGGCATATGCATGTGCGTAGGCAGGTGTGATGAAATAGTGTGTGTCTTGTGTGTGTGCGTGTGTGCTTGTGCGTGTTTATATTTTACTTTGACCTCAGCCGTCATTGGGTTTTGCCTGTGGCTGACAATGCCTAATAAACAAATAAACAAATTATTCCAGAATAAGTGAATAGGTACTCAAATAACACCATAGAACAAAGTGATGTACTGACAAACAATTTAAATGGGTACAGACGCCATTACACCTATAGAGGAATGCATGCTGTTTGCTGCTTTTAGGGAAATGCACGGTGCACGAAAGCTAGCAGAAAAGGAGAAACAAAATTACATTTATCCGTGCATCAGCAATGGAAATGTGCCTAAATCGCATACCGCCCTCAGCCGTCAACTTTTCAGCGAATTGATTATATGTATGCTAGCATGAATTCCTCAGTAGATTGTTTGATAATCAAACGTAGGTATGTACAG